TAGTGATTTTTGAAATTTTATAAGTAGTAAAACTTTTGTTTAGTCAGACGCAATATAGAAGTTATAAAATAGTATTTATTATTTAATTACATTTTAGTAATTTTTATCAGTAGTAAAATACCTGTTCAGTTAGACGCAATGAAGAAATTTGAAAATCAGTAGGAAAAGTAAATATTTAATCAGACTTTCTATATTTTAGTATTTTTTTAGTAGTAGAACTCCTCTTTTGTCAGACATAACGATTTTAGCTATTTTATCAGTAGTAAAAGTTCTATTTAATCAGGCACAGTGATTTTTGTAATTTTATAAGTAGTAAAATTTTTGTCTAGTCAGACAATTCTTTTTGTAATTTTATCAGTAGTACAAATAAATGTTTAATTAGAGCCACTAAAAATTTATGACAATATTAGTAGTCTAAGCCGATTATAGTCAGACACTGTAAAGAAATTTAAAAATCAGTAGTCAAAGTAAATATTTAATCAGACATTCTACATTTTTGTAATTTATTAGTAGTAAAACACCTCTTTAGTCAGACATAATTTTTTTTACAATTTTATCTGTAGTAAAAATCCTATTTAGTCAGACAGAATTATTTTTGCATATTTATCAGTAGTAAAATACCTGTTCAGTCAGACATAATAAAAAAATTAGATAATCAGTAGCAAAAGTAAATGTTTAATCAAACTTTCTATATTTTAGTAATTTTATCAGTACCAAAAGTCCTGTTTAGTCAGACATGATCATTTTCGTAATTTTATCAGTAGTAGAATACCTGTTCAGTTAGACGCAATAAGAAATTTGAAAATCAGTAGTAAAAGTAAATATTTAATCAGACTTTCTACATTTTAGTATTTTTTTTAGTAGTAGAACTCCTCTTTTGTCAGACATAAAGATTTTAGCTATTTTATCAGTAGTAAAAGTTCTATTTAGTCAGGCACAGTGATTTTTGTAATTTTATAAGTAGTAAAATTCTTGTCTAGTCAGACAATTCTTTTTCTAATTTTATCAGTAGTGAAAATAAATGTTTAATTAGAGCCACTAAAAATTTATGCCAATATTAGTAGTATAAGCCGATTATAGTCAGACACTGTAAAGAAATTTAAAAATCAGTAGTCAAAGTAAATATTTAATCAGACATTCTACATTTTTGTAATTTATTAGTAGTAAAACACCTCTTTAGTCAGACATAATTTTTTTTTGCAATTTTATGAGTAGTAAAAATCCTATTTAGTCAGACAGAATTATTTTTGCATATTTATCAGTAGTAAAATACCTGTTTAGTCAGACATAATAAAAAAATTAGATAATCAGTAGTAAAAGTAAATGTTTAATCAAACTTTCTATATTTTAGTAATTTTATCAGTACCAAAAGTCCTGTTTACTCAGACATGATCATTTTCGTAATTTTATCAGTAGTAGAATACCTGTTCAGTTAGACGCAATAAGAAATTTGAAAATCAGTAGTAAAAGTAAATATTTAATCAGAGTTTCTACATTTTAGTATTTTTTTTAGTAGTAGAACTCCTCTTTTGTCAGACATAACGATTTTAGCTATTTTATCAGTAGTAAAAGTTCTATTTAGTCAGGCACAGTGATTTTTGTAATTTTACAAGTAGTAAAATTCTTGTCTAGTCAGACAATTCTTTTTCTAATTTTATCAGTAGTACAAATAAATGTTTAATTAGAGCCACTAAAAATTTATGACAATATTAGTAGTCTAAGCCGATTATAGACAGACACTGTAAAGAAATTTGAAAATCAGTAGTCAAAGTAAATATTTAATCAGACATTCTACATTTTTGTAATTTGTTAGTAGTAAAACACCTCTTTAGTCAGACATAATTTTTTTTGCAATTTTATCAGTAGTAAAACTCCTGTTTAGTCAGACGTAATGAAGAAATTATAAAATAGTATTTATTATTTAAGTAAATTTCAGTAATTTTTATCAGTAGTAAAATTCCTGTTTAGTCAGACATGATCATTTTCATAATTTTATCAGTAGTAAAATACCTGTTCAGTTAGACGCAATAAGTAGTAAAAGTAAATGTTTAATCAGACTTTCTATATTTTAGTAATTTTATCAGTACTAACCGTTCCGTTTTTGTGGGAAATGAAATTTTTTTCTATTTTTATCAGTAGTACAAGTAAATATTTAGTCAAGCTTGCTGAACGTCTATAATTTCGTCAGTAGTTCCAGACGGTTTCAATCAGACAATAAATTTTATAAATTAGAAAATTAGTACTAAAAGAAAATATTTCATCAGACTTTAAAAAACGTTTGTATTTTTTCAGTAGTACGAGTAAATATTTAATCCGATCACTTAAATTCAGTTTCAAAAAATTATGAAACCTATTTTTTTAAATAAATTATTTATAAATTTTTATTAGTAACTGTTTTCAAAAAAAATTATAATTTTTTTTTTATTGCACCTAGGTTATCTTAAAATAATAAAAATTCCAGGTTCCACATTTCTGTGGTTTCTATACTTTTAGAGCTTGTGAAAATTAAGATATTAATTAAAACTAATTTCATCGTTGAAATTTTCCGGCTTCAAGTTGTTTTACACAAAAAACGAAAAGAAAAAAAAAAGTTATGCAAATTGTTTCAAATACTTTAAAAAAAAAAAATTTACATCCCTTTTGTTTAATATATAAAAATTAATTTAAAAATTCTACTGAATGTGAAAAAAAATCCCCCCCCCCCCCAAAAATAGAACTTCGGTTAATATCTCTTTAAAAGAGAATATAATAGAATATAATCCATTTTCTATGTATTTCATGATAATAGGTGTAATTATAATAAATTAGAGTAATGTAACAATAAATATATAATGCATTAATAAGTATGCAATAAAAATTAATAATAATTTTAATATTATTTTCTAATTATTATAATTTGAGTCTATATATTTATTAATGCAAAAACAACAAGTAAAATGGACATTAACCAAGATTAGGTGTATATAAGTGTATCAAATTTTAAGTACAAGTATATATGTAAAACACTTATATGCAAAAGGGCATAAAGTTTAATGCAAAAGTTTTTAATGGGGTAGATTCGCTCGAGGAAATTCATTCGCCTCGCGCGTAAACGTATAATGCACTTCTATATATATATATCTACTAAATTACTATACTAAGGACAGGGTTTGGAAAAAAAAAGGAAGTAAAAATAAAAAAAAAAAAAAAAAACTGACTATAACCAGGTAAAGATTTGAGAACGCAAAGGACGCCTCGGGCAACATAATTCTATTGTACATGGGCCATCTTCCTCTCTAACAAACTACACTATATGGCAACCCGGTGGTTTTCCTAGAGAGACGATAAAGTCACAGTGTATTTTCTTTATATCTACGCCAGCGAACTCGTTATGTCGCATATTACGAGCTCTACTTTGGATAAGGGACTTAACGAAAACAACAACGACTTTCTATAGTTTCAAAACTGTAATCGTGTGCATAATGCACTTGAGAAGTAATTTCACGTTTGGGAGAGGGGGGGGGTGGTTTTATCATTCTCTCAATAACATCTCGTATATAAATGATTCTTATCTTATCTGGTAATCTTCGATGAATCGATTCTCTCTCTCTCTCGTCATAATATCCCGTTCAGATTTTGCATTCTATTGTACCAGAGAAGTTAAGCTTCAGAATAAATCGATATTGAGAGCGCATTTTATCTGACTTAAGGGTGTGATAAAGAAAACAATGAAAAAGAAAAGTTATGATAAAAGAATTTAATCTTGGTACACGTCAAACTGGGACAGTGCCAACATAAAAATGAACCATATTTTTATTATCAAATGTCTTTTGAAAAATGAGTCGAGAGAGAAACTTTGCTTTAATCAATAAAAAAAAATATCGCATGTCTCAAAGTGTATATTATACATTGGTGCGCAACAAGAAAAAAAAATATATTCTTGAATGAAAAATAATTATTCCCTGATTAAGATATATATATTTAATGCATGTATTTTATATTAGATTAATTCGAAAAAGGAAATTATGAAAATTTTAATTATAATTAAAATTAAATTTTCTTTTATATAGAAAACAGAAAATTTAAATTCGTTTTCAAAAAATAATTGAAATATTTAGTTTCGTATTTTGAAATTAATTATTTTAGCAGCTTTGAATCATTAACTGTATTTTGAAGCTTATTTTAAATACTCGCTTTTTTTTTCTTGTCGAGAAATTTAATTTAAAAATATGCTTATACACCGAGAGCTAATCAATTTACATGAAAATTGAAAAAGAGGGAATAATTACTAAAAATGCTATATTTTTCTGAAATGTTACATATAAAAAATAACAAAAATACTATTAATAGAAAAAATGATATTTTATACTTAAACAAAATTTACTTTCCTATAATTGAAAGATTAGATTCATGACTTGTCTTCACTTTCATTTGTCGCATTGTTTATATTTGAGTTCATTCACCCTGTCATCGTCACTATTCGCATCAAACTTATAATATTTATTGTTAGTTTCGAAAATTCGCTTGCCATGATAAGACACAAAATTTCATATTCATTTGACTAATTACAAAAAATGTAATTTTAATTTTATACTTGGTAATTGACTTATTTATTTATTTAATTTATTGTGAATACTGTGTTTTTGTGTATCTTAGTTGTTTTTTTATTTTTTATTTTTATTTTAATTGGTGTATAAATTTCTTTATCAGCCTGAAGAGGATGACAAAACCATGTCATCGAAACGTTGCTTAGCAATAAATTAAAAAATAACATAAAACTTGTGTTATTTAAAATACCTTCCGTGGATCAAAATTTTCACATTCTAATATATAATTGGGAAGGAAAATTATCATTATAATTTAAAAACAATTTCGTCAAAATTTAATTGTCATTTTAAAAAAATATACGAGTGAATTTCTCCTCTTTATATATTTTTCTATTCAATAAATAACTAAAAATCAAAAAGTTATTTTAAAAAAAAAAAAATTTTTTAGATAAAATTTTTTTTTGAAAAACTCACCAGTCACGTTCAGTGTGATATGTTGAACATTGTTACATTCACGATTAACAGCCAAATAAGTTGCTTCACATTTATATAATCCCTCGTCAGCAATTTTGATATTTGGAATTTTGAGAAATGTTTCCGTGTCATTTTTTGCAATCAGCATACCGGCTCTGAAAAAAGAAAAAAAAATGATTCAAAGAAAATTTCAAGAGGTATTTTTTTCACAAAAATAAAAGGTGTCGAAAGAAGAGTAAAACGTATTTTCCTTTAAGAAATAGTTTCAAATATCTATATATATATATATATATATATATATATGTGTGTATCATAAAAAGGGGATGAAGCACGTTCGTGGCATAAAATGACATCGATTTACATTCTAGTCCCGTTAACCCAATTAAGCAGATTCGCTTTGCAGGTTACGATAACGGAGCAAAAGGACATTGTACTTGGCGGATCTGGGTTCGCCAGAGCCTGTCGATTAATGAATCCGATAAGATTATAAGTGGCGCTGCGGTAAATTCCAATTAACTATCACCGCATTATAGAACAATGAAGCTCGAAAAGAAAACCTCAAGCGCGAAAAAGCCATTTAACGGAGACTTGAGCTGCTTCAGCATTTTTCTTTTTTCATTTTTTTTTTTTTTTTTTTTGACTGATTTTCCAGTAACAGCTTATAATTATTTTTATAGAATTTTTCTATCATTTTCCATCATTTTTGTATTATTTTTAAACTTTAAATAATTGTATCAGTTTTTTATTATTATTTTTTTTTTTAATTTCTCCTTTTTTTTAAATAAAAAATCAGAATTGATTCTCTGGACTATTATTTGTGGTTTTATATTTTTTTCACTGAACAATTTTTCTTGGTATTAAATAATAGATAATAAACACTTTAGTTGAATTTTTTTTTTCTCTCTCTCTCTTTCAATGTATGTTTTTCTAGATCTCATAGGACTTTAGTACTGAAAGCGTTTCGATATTGACATGAATCATGTAGGAAGTCTCTTTCTGAAAACCATTCCTACGGATCGCAGATCTTCAACTTCAATTTCCTGCCTCTTGGGTGAGAAATGAAATCGTACGTAAAAGGCGTTTGCTGTACTTTTTGAAGAAAGAGTAAGGGAGAGAGAGAGAGACTCAGCATCGATTGTATTTTCTGCATTCCTTCACATATTTGGAATTCCGCGGATTTCTCTAGTCAATGAAGTCAATACGTCGAATAACTCAGCCCTTTCAAAATTCTTTTCTCTCTCTCTCTCTCTCTCTCTCTCTCTCTTTCTCTCGGTTTTCTTTATATTATTAGAAGAACCTACATCATTTTCAAAACATAAAAGCTTTCCCCATTTTCCAACTTTAAAGCTTCTTTTCATTTTTAGTATATAGTCTGATTTATATACGAGCAAAAATCTCAAAGAAGGAAATTATATACTTTTTTTTTCTATAATAAAAGCTTTTCCAATTTTCATGGAAAAAGTATAAAAATTTTTTTTTTTTACAATTTCAATTTTTTAATGAAAATTATATTTTTTAATATTAATTTTTTAACGAAATTCTATTTATTAATGAAAATTATACAGTGAAAGTAAAATATAAACTAATTAACGTGAAAATCAGTTTCTATGTAACAAAAAAAAAAAGAAAAAAATAAATAAAAACGATATGTGATGGTAATGCTCGAAAAATATTCAAATAAAACAAGAGAGAAAAGTTATTGGAAAAATTTTATCCTTAATAACATTTTTTACAGCTTTTCTCTCTGAGTTGAAATTTACGCGGCTATCACTCAAAATTATGACGTTGAAGCAACGAAATAAATTACAAGCCAAAAAGGGAGAGTATATATATATATATATATGTTACGTTAAGGTCGATGGAGAAATTTCCAGGTTCCTGGACTAGCCGAAATACTTCGAGTTCCTCAACTTCAATAAGCGAGTTTCGCATCCTAATAATGTGGTTTTAATGCAGTCTTCGACACTATATTCTCATTTCTATTAAAATTAAATTTTTCCTTACATAACAAAATATTTTCATTCTATATAAAAAAAAATTTTCTAATTCGAATGATTATAAATCTATGATTAAATATAATTGCACTTTACTACAATTATCAATTGTTAGCAAAAATTATGTGTACAAATAATTTTGTCATAAATTAAAATTAACTCGCAAAATTAATTATATATACTTCTATATTTAAAAATCGTTTAAAATTAAAAATTCATTGATAATTTAGAACGAGCTTATTAAAATAATTGCCACAAAAATAATTCAATGATAATTTTTAAAAGGTCAATTTCAAATAAACTTTGAAAATATTTAAAAAAAAAAATTTTTTTGTAACAATTGTTAATTATTACAAAAATGATTGAATAATTAAATATATTGTATAACGGATAATAATAGTACAAAAAAAAATAATAGAAATATATTCGTAAATATTACATGCAATTGATATCAAAAAAATTTTTTATTTTTTTTTCAACAAAAAAGAATTTATAATTTTTTTTTTTTTTTTGGAACAATATGCTTCAAGAAACCTGATGTACATTATGGAAATGGAACCTTTGCCAATTAACGTGAAAAGCACGTATGACGTTCTAAACTGTACGTAGCATGGTTTATCTAGAGTTTAGAAGCTGAACATACATATGCAGTAACAGATTATGGTTGGTCATGCTACAACTCGTAAGCTGTAACTTAATCCGTCGTGTGTGTGTCTTTGTGTATGTAAGTTTTCAGAGCTGTGAAAACATGATGAATGCATAAAGCTCAGGGACTAAGGGATTTTATATGCTTTTTGGTGTAAAATAATCAAAAACCATGTGAATTAGATTTCACTTGGGAAGGGATGCCAAGACGAAAGAAAAAATAATTTTTTTTTCCTTCTAAGAAAATTATCATATAAAAATTTTAAGAAATTCTTTTATTTTTATTCTCCATTCACTTTTTAAAAAAAAAAAAACAGCTTTATTATAACAAAAAATTTATTTGATTCAAATAATCGTTGTCTATTATCAAAGTAAATATTTATTTGGATTAACTAAATTTTATTCAAATCAATAATTTCTTTATAAATAAATAATAATAATAATTAATTAATTTTTAATAATAATTAATTAATTTTTAATAATAATTAATTAATTTTTAATAATAATTATTTAATTTAAATAAATTTTTCTTTGATACAAATAAATATTTTTTTTTTTTTGATACAGATAAATATTTCTTTAATACAAATAAACTTCTTTCTTTTTGCAGATGTAATAATAATCTACTTTGTCTTGAACAAGAAAATAAAAAAAAACTTTCAAAATAACTCCTAAAATACCAGTTTTAAATTGATAATAAACCACTCGATGCAGACAAACTGAAATTTAATTAAATTCTTCATTTCAATTGAAATAATTCGATTTGCTATTTAAAGAGAAAAGATATATAAACTGTAATTGATTTGTTTCTCGAGCTATAAATATTAACTTTCTATAATCATCTTTGTTTCGCAAAATTTTGTAGCGCAGACAAAAAAAAAAAATTCTAATAATTTAAAGTCTTAAATATTTAAATTCATAAAAAATTGTGGATATTATTTCGAGACTTTAATACGATACAATTGGCATAAAAGTACAATTAAATCACTTTTATTATATGATTTAACGAATTTTACTGATTGTGATTTAATTTGCCTTTTTTTTTTGTTTTATTATCTGATTTATGGTAAACGTAGTTGTCGCCCATGGCAATTTTTAGTATTATAAAAATATCTCCTACTGTCACATGCATAAAAAACAATTGAAATTGTTCTACATTTATTATTATATATAGAATCGAATGCAAACAAATAATTTTAAATACTAACGAATAATTTTCATTCTGAATTGGCTGAAAAATATATAAACCCTAAGGAATTTTTAAATCGTCTATATATATATATATATATATATATAGTATACCAAATGAGAAAAAAAAAAGAGAGCGCGCATTGCGATCCACAGATTTTCTCTACTGACGACAACGACGTCTTTCTTTATCCAAAGCAACCGCGACGACGACCCTTGAATGCCATTCAATCTTAGAAGAATTCACATCTTTTATCGATTTACGTCAACCCGATAAAGAATTTCAAGAAATAGAAAAAAAAAAAAAAAAAAATTATACTCAATGTGGTTGAGAAAAGTAAAATGTTTTCTTTTCCCGGATAAATATATATATAAATATTTATATACACTTGATGCATATTTTCCTATTTAGAAATTTTTCATATTCGAGAAAGAAAAAAACTAAAAGAAACTGAAAAAAGGAGAAAAAGATAAATAATAAAATTTATTTGAAACAATAATCATTTTGATTGAATCCACCAAATAAATTGCCTATTGGTTGAATCAACTAATAATTTATTTCACTCAATTATTTCTTCGTTCAACAAAATTTATTAAAACAATTCAAATATTTATGAAATATTTTTATTTGAATGAAAATAATTAATAGAACCAGAAAATTGTATTAAAATCAAAAAATTATACTCATACAAAAAAATTAAATTGATACAAAAAAAATATTATTAATTTATTTATATACAAAAAAAATGGTATATTTGAATCAAACAAAACTTTTCGTAAAACTATGAATTTTTCATTGAAATTTACACAAAAAAGAGAAATAAATAATAAAAATATGAATTCGAGGGATATTTAATTTACAAAAACAAAATACTTTATTTTTTTTTGTATTGAATTCTGCCAATAATGGAAGGATATATTACTGGCTTCGAGGAGATTACGAGCATGCGGTTGTTTAAACGCAAAGAAGATGATTCCAGCCAAAGGGTAATAAAAGCTGAGCATTGGATTCACTAAATTTCATTCTGAAAAGCTTAAAGCTATTCAGCCAGTGCTTTTATAGCCGTTTAAACCCTAGGCTTCATGCCCAAGACCTATTGTCTTTATTCGTGGTCCGAATGACTCTATTAACAACATTAAATTGTACTTCCCAATGAAAACTGTCTTCCAAAAAACAAAAAAAAAAAAGCAATAATTCATATTTTTTAATCTGCAATAAAGAAAAATACCCATCATTCTTATCTAAGCCTCTCTCTCTCTCTCTCTTTTTTTTCTCTCTAGAATTAAAAATTTTATTTTTCTCTATCATTTTTGTTTAATTTTTCAAAAATTGGATCCACAAATGGGACACACGATATTAATCTCTATTATAGATTACTTATTGCGCTGTTATTACGCAGCTATTCACTTTCATTTTATGAGAGCAAATTACGAGTATAGAGATTATATCTTTTTTGGAAAATTTCGGTTGGTAGTGACTTCATTAGCCAAACGAACACCATTCCCTAGTTTGTGTCATATGCCCATTAATATCTATGCTTCAAACTACATGTGGCATTTAATACTGATTACGGATCAAATATGCCTATCTGGCACCTGTCCTTCTCTGTGATATATAGCTTTGTGAGACTCACACACATATATATATTTCCTAAATGCCATATATATATACACATATATATATATATGAATGTATATATGTGAAATGTCATTTAAGCTTCTCAATATTCATCAGCACTATTCGCCAACATTAATTAAACTCATCCAATAGTCGTATTTGTTCCTCTAATTATTGACAAAATTGTCCTCAATAAATATATTTGAAAATATATTACCAATACAATTGCATCAAATCCTATTAAAGGATGCATTCATTATAATGTAGATTGTATATCTATATATATGTGCGTTATATAAACGAAAATATGATTTATTTCCACTTCATTATTTATGTATGCAATAGGGAAAATTATTGTTGAATCAAAGGTTAATCATTTAAATGGTCAAATGACAAAACGATTAAATAACAATTGAAAATTATTGTAAATACCTAACAGGAAATATTTTTCCTTTTTTTTTTGATGAAAAAGAGAGAAATTTTATGTTCCTAAAGTTAAATGAACAAAATCACTTTTTGGTGTATAAATTATTTAAAAATTATTACAGCAATAAAAAATGTACAAAGTACATTAAACAATTTTATAAGTTATTCATATTTTCGATATAGAAAGCAATATTTTATAATAAATTTATTTTATTTATAATAAAAGTTATAATAAAATTTATAATAAATTTTATCATAAAATTTATAATAAATTTTATCATAAAATTTATAATAAAAATTTGAAATTAAAAAAGTAGTAAACAAATTTTTTTCATTCATTTGAAAATTGAAAATTCATCACATCAATTACTAAATTCTTTTTAAATTTTTTTAGTTATTCTTTCAATGTTATGGATAAATAAATAAATTTTATTAAATAAAAAATAAATAAAATTATTTTCAAATACAATAAGCAATGAGTATTTGAAATTTATTAAATGAAAAAATGTTTCTTCTTTTTATAAATGATAATTTATTTAATAAATATTATTTTTAAAATTTCTTTTATTTTAAAATTCATATTAAAAAGTTAAAAAAAAAAAGTTATAAAAAGTTTTCTTCTAATTATATTATATTAGTATGAAAAAATATATATATTTATAATTTTCCACTATTATTATTATGTTATCTTGTATAAATTATTTAGATTATGAAAAATTTCTCAACATTTGTTAATTCATATCACCATTACTGAATCTGACAAACTGTCAAAGTCGTTAGCATTGATCGTGCAACCTTTTTTGATGCAGCTACAAAGATTACATGAAAAAAAAAGTATTTTCAGTTTGTAAATTGATAAAAGGTAATTTAATTTTTATTTAATAAAAAAAGAAATATGTATATTTCATAAGGAAAAACCTTTTGTAATATATATATGGAATTTAATAAAATTAAATATTCTTGTAATTGACCTAAATATTGGCTCAACAATATTACAAAAGTGAATTAAATTTTTGATAACACAAAAAATTAATCCACTCCATAAAGCAGACAATTTAATTTGATACAAAAAATTGAAATTCTCTTTAAAAAAAAAATTAATTTAATTTTATTAATTAATTATCGTTATTGTTAATTATTAAATATTTTTCGAGTTTATTAAATTTTTTCAAAACTTATATTAATTTCATATAATAAAATTTATATCAACTGAATTTATTTAATTTATTATTTATTTAATAATTTTTCAGTCATATAATATTATATAAAATACGATATAAAATTTATGGAATTATAAATGATTTTTAAATTATCTACAAATGAGAATCAATTATTTTATATTGTAGAAATTTTATTTTTTTAAAAAAAGGAAATTAATTTTTCATAAACGATTGAAATAGTTTCCATGTAATAAAAAAAAAAAGAAAAAAATGTAATGAATGTAACAAAAATGATTTGTGTTTCAGAAGTAAATCAATCTTTGGGAAAATATGATATCATATAAGGCGAACAAATTTTTATAGGACTATAAAAAAAACTACAAATAATAATAAGTGAATGTAAAGAACACATGTTTTCGCGAAGAAAAAAGAAATTATTTTCCTAGTCTATTTTTTACACTTTTATAGAGAAATTAGTTATTTAGAATCAACCGTTTTTTTTTAGTAAAAAAGAATATTTTTATTTAAGGTTTAAAAAAATTTTTTTTTTTGTTTTCATTTTTCATTTAAAAAAAGTTAATGTATTATAAAATAGTTAGTTAATTAATTAATAATAAAATTAACGAACTAGTTAATTAATTAATTAAATAATTATTTAGTTTGTAAATTTCTGCTGTCCTTACTATGAATAAAAATTAACTTACCCAGGATCCATTTCGGTGTCGATTCGAGTGACGCCAACATCTTCGCTGTAAACAAAAATCCGAGTGTTTCCACGGTACCATTTGATGCTGTGAAGACCAACGCATTGTGGTAGTTTTAGACGGCATGGTAGCTGAACTTCCGAACCAAGTTCAGCGCTCTTCTCAACCTTTAACCAAGGTTCACTGCTCCCTAAAACATAAAAAAAATTTCTTTAATTATTTTTTATTATTTATTATTTATTATTATTCCATTTTTTAATTGTTTTTTTAGTGCAGTAATTTTTTATTTAATTTTTTTTTTCAGTAAATTTCTAGTATAACACTGCAGATAAAAATTTAAAGATAATTTTTTTAAATTCTGTTAATTAATTTATCATTGTAAAAAGGACAATTCAAAAAAGAATTTTCACTCTCACATAGTTTTAATCGAAATTTGTATATTAAAACAAAAATTTTTATTTAAAATATATTTGCAAAATTTATAATACAGTTACCTTGACATTTGCACCTATATGTATATATGAAAAGTATTTTATAAAAAAAAAAATGAAATATTGTTATTGCTTTATACAAATTACAATTTCGTATATACAATATCGACTGATTGCTAAACGATTTCATTTATATCACAATATAAATTGGTTTCGTATAAATGTATTTTTCGCATGGTATTAAAACTTTTGTCGGGCAGTCTGCAAAAAAAAAAAAAAAAAAAAAAAAGAACTGAAGAGAAAAATATTCAAAATGAAATATTTCTATCTACTGGATTGGCTGCAGTTACATTTAATTAAAATTGATATCAGAGACTAAAGTTAAATAGATTGAAACTAACTCGTTAAAATTGTCAGCATATTTCGATTCTTTTTATATCAACATTTTTTTTTTTTTTTTTCTCTAAATGGATTATTATTTTTGTAATAACTTATTAATTTACAAAAAAAGAAGTTATTTTTTTAAAATTATTTTTATTAATTTGTAAACAAATTAATTTGTAAATAAATTAATTTTTAAACATGAATTATTTTTAAGAAAAAAAAAATTATTGTTTTCATAAAAGCAAATTATTTTCTATGATGAAAACTAGTGGTGTGTATATAATTTTCCATCAGGATATTATATTTCTATGATGTCAATTTTTCTTTGCTTTGAACAACAATATTGAATTAAAAAAAAAAAAAAATCCGCTATGTAGAGATTTTTAACACTGAAATAACGAATAATATTGGTTAAAACGTTAATAAAGTTATTTGGTATGACGCATATTAAAACAGGAATTTTTTTTTTGTGTTATATTTGAGACAACGTTGACAATAAAATTCAAAGAGTTTTTCCCTCCAAAAAAAAAAAAAGTACGTCACATGCCATTACGCAACAATATCGTGACAGGTAATCCGTATCGAATTCCATTTTGGTATCAGCTAGAACGTGATATTTACTACAGCATCCCGACCCACAAACTTCAACGAGCTTTTATATCGCATGCGTTCCGACAGATAAACAGAAATAGAAGAATGGAAATCGATATGCGTTATTTTGTTCAACTATATAGATGTGTCCGCGAAAAAAAAAAAAAAAAATACTCTCGTGTGTGGATTTTCAATATTTATACAGGCTTGGCATATTTTCGAGGAAGTTCAATTGGCTCTTATATACCTCGAAATAAAAAAGAAAACATTTGTCTAAAAAATTATTTTCACAATATATATATATATATGATCCCCTAAAAATCTGAATCAAAGAAACAAAATTATTTTCAAAGAAAAAGATAAATTAGAAATTGTCACAATTTTAATAATTCACAGAAAATTAAAAGGCATTAAAATAAGCTGCAACGCTTATTATTTAAATCCAATTTTGCTTATTTTAATCCATTTTGGTATTAAAATAAACAAAATTAGATTAAAATAATAAGCGTTGCAGCTTATAATTTTCTGTGATTATTATCGAAAAATAATAAAAATTATTTATACCTTTTAACAATTTCTATTTTTTCACGTAATAATTTTTATATAAAAAATTATATCAGGATTTAATTATTTTAAAAAAAAAATAAAGCCCAATTATAATCTTAATTTGTATAACATAAAATTCTGAAACAAAATTAATTTTAAATTATTATCGATGAATGTATCAAAGGAATCTCATGATAATCATGTGATATAATATGTTAATTAAAAAATTCCTTATATGAAAAATGTCGATAATTCATATACATATTATATTGAAGTTATATTTTAAAAAAATTTCAATTTCTTTTTAAAAGAAAAACTTGATAAATAAATTATTTCTGTTTATTTATAAAACAGAAAAAAGAAAAAATTTTCCTCATTAAATGCACCGTGAGATTTAATTTATTCAGTAATTTTTTACTCATCTTTGTATATTTCAAGTTGAATTCTCTTTGCAATTAATTGGAAAAAAACACACTGTTGGTATAAAATAGAAAAAAAAAAAAAAAAAAAAAATGAATGAGAAAACTTTCTTTCAGAGTCAAGAGAGAAAATTAAAGCAGAATAAGAATATTGAAACTTAATTTATATTTAGAAAAAAGAAAAACTAAATTACTTTCAATTCCATATAGTATACGTAGGTATAACCATTTTTTTGTATTCACAATTTTTTTGTTATTTCAAAACAACAGAGAAAATTAAAAGGCATTAAAATAAGCTGCAACGCTTCTTATTTTAATCCATTTTGGTATTAAATTTATTGATCTAATCTAATATTTATTTTGATAAACGTTATTATTTTAATAAATTTTTTTGAACGAAGAAAGAAATTTATTGAGCCAAATGAAATTTATATTGATTCAACCAAATGTTTAGTTAACTGCACTCAGAAAGAATTTGTTTGAATTAACCAAATTTTTGTTGAATTAACCAAAATTTTAATGGGCTCAATCAAATTCTTTTTTTGGTCGCGAGATATTTATTAGAAATAAACCAAATTTCTATTTAGATCAAATAAATATTGATTTAGGTTAAGCAAAGATTTATTTAGATTAAATAAATATTTATTTGAATCAAACAAAATTTTTGTTTAAAATAACCAAAAAAATTCTGTTAATCGTAAAACAAATTTTTCGATTGTTTCGAATAAATTTTTTTTTTTCGAGTATATTAAATTAATCAACTTAATGAATATGATATATTTTCTCCATTTAGTGTGTGTATCATTTGATTAAAATTTTGTATATCCCACTGTGAGTTGAGGAGGAAGTTTTCCGTTTTGGTTATATAAGTATGCTGAGCAGCATCGCAGTTAAAGTATATATATATAGAGAGGATGAAAGAGGGAGAGAGATAAGCTCAGTATTATGAGAGGCAAGACCTTAATAACGTCAAGTGAAGTATGTGTGATACAAGCAAAAACCCTCATCCCTTCTTCCAATCTCGCAATAATCGTTCGCTAAGATTACTCGTATAGATAAATATTTAACGTCTCATAAAATGATATAATTTCAAAAAAGCAGGAAATTGATTTAGGTTCAAATTTCATTTTGCATATTTCAGAAGGGAAAAAATTTTTATTATCCTCTTCTAAAATATAGGGGTAAGAGAGAAATATCAACTGGGAGAGTCGCGGGCAGAAAAGTTGCACAATTATGTATACGAGTGATTTAATTCTTCGCCTCTGGAGGGCAGGGAAAAGAAAAATAAAACAAAGGAAGGAAGAAAGAAAAAAAAAAAAAAAAGAAATATCGCATCATGGGACGACTCGACGGAGTTTTCCAACTCTATACACAATGGTTCTTGTCTCTCTTTCTCTCTCTCTCCCCACCTCTTTCTACGTATACTTTCAGGCGACTTGCAAAGCAGTGTTCAAATAAAAAGTGACCGTCTCTTTTCCTCGCCTCATGCCTGCGTAACGTCTCTCGTTCAAAATGCACTCTTTTAGCGGTGAATCCTGAGATGAATATATAAATCCCAAGCTCGCGCAGAAATACTACTTTTCCATAAATAGATAAATCCAAACGAATTTTCAAACTTTTTATATTGTAATTTTTTATCTTTTCATTTTAAAATTACGAGAAATTTTTTAAGTTTCAGAAAAAAAATACAATTTTTTTTGTTGCTCGAGGACTAATTTTATGAATTATCAATTCTCTAAATTTGAATTAGTTAAAAGTAACTAGCAAAAAAGTAAATCACTGATTTACTCTCTAAATTTGAATTAGTAAAAAAGTTTACTAATTTGAATTAGTGACTCACCTTTTTGCTTCTCAATTAGAAAATTTTACTAATTATTAGTAACTTTTACTATCAATTAGTAAAATTTAACTAATTCTAAAGCAAAAAGTGAGTCACTAATTTAAATTAGTAAATATTTTTACTAATTCAAATTTAGAGAGTAAATAGTAATATTTATTTATATTTTAGTTAAAAATAACTATGTTAAATTAATTTTTAAAAATTTTTTGTATTCATTTAGTCAAATTTGACTAATTTTTCCATTTAAAATTAGTAGAATTTTACTGACAATTATTTTTTTTTTCTACTAATTGTTGAGGCAGAAAAAAATAACTAAAAATTAGTTACTTTAAATTCAGATTTTATACAAGGTTGAATATTACATTTATGTAAATTTTATAAAAGTAGAATTATAATATTAAAACGAATTTTTACATCGATGCAAAGTTTTTTTAAAAAAAAAATTTATATCCTACTTAACGACACGAGTTTTTAAAATCCAAGGATTAATTATTATTCAGTAGAGTGTACAACCTTATTTTGATTCAAATATAAAAAAAAAAAATTCTAAAATCCAAAATATCGAATGAAAATACATCGAACTGCTTTTAAATATTATTCAATTAAATTAATATTGTCTATTAATACGAATTAATTAAACAATAAATTAATTAAAAATAAAGAACTATTTTTTTTTTGAAAAAAATTCCTTTAAATTCTACCTAAATTTGAAATTACTTATCACCAAAACATTGTGTAACCGAAATTTTTGTGGTTTTTGTCCTTATTGAAAATTCGAAACTTTGGTTTTTTAAACAACAAAACGTTGAAAATGAAAAAAAAACCAATATTTAGTTTCAGATTTATTGAAAATAAGGATTCCAAAACCACAAAAAATATTTAACACCCATTTATGTTACTTCAATATCAGTGAAGGGCATTGGAATTTATTTTTTTACTCAATTTAAACTAAATTCACATTAATATAGTATGTATAATA